TGGTGCACCCAGCACAAGTAAGGCTGCTGTTGGGGATGAACAGTGACCCCAGATACCAAGATCCTTGCTTCTTATACCTCAGCCTGTGACTGAGTGTGAGTGGCAGCCTTCAGAGAGGCCACTCCAGAATATTGTGGTCCTCCAGGGAAAGGAGGTCAGGACATTTATCCCGAGAAGACATGTATCCCAAGGAGCCAGGAAGAGGCGGCATTTACATCCCAGGACTGCGGGCCTGGCGGAGCTGGCCTGTCCCTATCTCCTCCTGGGCTCTGGCTTCCAGAGCAGGGCTGTGATGGCTGGAATTGTCACCCAGCCACAGTGAGATTGCAAAAGGCTCGGAGGGTCCCTGAGCTAAGGCTTACCCAATGGACTAACAAAGCCCCATCTTGATGGGCCTGGAGGACAACTCCAGCCCAGCCCCAACCTGCGTGAGAGGACCCAAGATAGAAAGGTGGAGCCAGGCTTGGACAAGTGTGCACAAGTGGACCCTTGGCCCTCCTGGAGGTATGACCAGAGCAGTCCCTCGAGCTCCTACAAGTCCTGCTGGGCTTCCCCCAAAAAACTGAAAAAATCTAAGTGTTGCAGCCAAGGCCATTTGGATCTGACTGACGACCATGGCTTAGGCTTGCAGGGCGAGCACTCAGGGCTCTGATCTTGAGGGGTGCTGCTCTAACCCGTGCCATGCATTCAACGAGACATGGCAGCCCAGCTTGCTTTCTTACACGAATTAAATTCACAGCATAACCAGACTCTGTCTCCTTCTGTTGAGGAAACCCCACACCAGGATTTAGAACCTTCACCCTCGAGGACACTGTGCCCTTTCCTCCCAGTGTTCTGAGGAGCTGCACTGAGTCAGGAGAGCTCTGACTTATGGCTCTATGAAAGCCACACTGGGACCCCACACTGGGCACCCACAGTGGGGTGTGCAGCTGGGTCCTGCCCTGGGTGCCCCACACAGGCGGCATGGGTGGCCCCTTTGCTACCTCTGAAAGCAGAAGCAGTGCTGCAGGATGTGATCGAAGACCCACAGACAGAGTCGGCCCCACGGAAGTTGCTCTCGGAGGGAGAAAGCTGTAAACATTTTTCTGAACACTTAGTGTTGGGCCTGCAGCTCTATGAGTGCAAAGTGTAAAACAAGTGGACAGTGTCCTGCTTGGACAAAAGTGTGTTTGAAAGGAGGACAGGAGAAGCAGGCCCAAGTCCCTAATGAACGGCTAGTACTAGGGCATAGTTGCGTCAAAGGCAGCCCACAGACCAGGACCCGAGAGCAGAGACCTCTGCTGCCTTTCTGCACCTCTCCCGCTCTTCCGACACCTGGCTACTCTGTCTCCTATGGGCATGCCTTCCTGCAGTCCTGTCCCCGCAGTTCTGGAGCACTCCATCGGTCCTGGGGTTCAGGGATTCTTCACCACGATAGATTTCTCCACCCCAAACCCAGCTGGCCCTGCAGCCCCTGTGCCAATGTTGCCATGACTCTGTCACCTTTAGAATGCAGGACATGGCCTGGACCTCACAGTACATTTAGTCTGCTGTATCTCACTCTCCAGGTAGCCCATCAGGAGGGGACTGGGACAGGAGTCATTTGGCAAGAGTGGAGAGACAATGGGGGAGGAGCTGGGACACTGGCTTCATGGGTCGTGGTGGCCTTGCATTTGTCCTCACATCTCTGGTGGCCTTAGTTTCTCCCCAGTGAATTACAAAAGCAAGCTAAATTTCCACTGGTCCTGCACCTGCGGAGCTTCCAGTCCAATGCAGTCAACCTGAGATGCTGGGTCCCCAGTCAAGGCATGCCATCACACATGCACCCCAGTCACACATGCCATCCTCTGGGACCAGAATCTAAGGACATGGGCCTGGCAAGCAACCTGAGGTGACATGGGGCCACATGGGCCCTGTGGACCTCACTGCCATGCTGGGCCGGTGGGTTGTCCCAGCCTGTGGGCACAGCTGTGGCACAGGGCTGCAGAAGTGGAGATTCCTGCACCACAGCCCCCTGGAGGCTACGAGGTGGGCTTGGTCACACACCTAGGTCCCCTGGAGTATCGGGCCCCACAGCAGTGACAAGGACATCTGTATGTTCCAGGCAGGTTAAGCCTCTACAGCCTTCCTCTGGGGGCCGAGAAGCTCTCACTGCACATGGCACTTGATGTTGGGGTACAGGGGGTGGGCCCACTCTCTCGGGCGTGAGGGTTGGAATTCCACCTCCTTTCCAATGAAGAGTTTGAAATTCTCCCCGTCACAGAACAAAAGGAGCTTTGACTTGCTTTATCGTTCATGCAGCAGATGTCGTGCTCGGGTGACAGTCCTGTCGTGCCCCTGGCAGCTGTGACATCTCCACAGGAAAGGAGTGGGGAACTCATTGAGCCACCAGCTCATTCTTGAGATCCCTTCATGGAGCACCTATGTCTCTAATAAGATCGTTTCCTTCAGGTTAGGCGGAAATGGCCCTCTTAAGTGGGTGCTTCAAAGTGCAAAGCGCTCAGCTTGGGGGTCTCTCAAAGAACATGCCAGCATCATGAGGCCAGGGTCCTCGGGCCACACCATGCAGCCCACCGCCTGCAACTGAGGGGCGCTGTGCAACCTGGGTGCCCCAGAGAGGAGAGACTGGCCCTGCTTCCTTCAGGCATCAAAGCCCACTGTGATGGAGAAAGGGCTCCTGAGGGAGGGGCAGGCCTGAGTAAGGGCTGCGATCCTAGCTGCCCCAGCGCGGCTCTGGTTTATCTGAGGCTTCCTCGGGTGCATCCCCTCGTGCCTCATCCACAAACGAGGCCCAGGATGCTGGAGAGCCTGGTGCATGGACCAAGGCAGCATCCACTCAGGCTTCCCAGACCCAGCACCCAGTCAGATGGGTTCTGGCGGGCGAGGCCAGCGTCCAAATCAGAAAGGGCAAAATGGAAGGGATGCTGAGGCAAGAGGAGAAAGGGTCTCCACACGAGTGACCTTCACAGATTTGGACACCATGCCCAGATGTTATCCTGAGCTCTCGCCAGAGGTCAGTAGACAGCGAAGCAGAGGTCAAGCTCTCCGGAAAGAAAGGGACAAGCAACTCTCCACGTCTAGGGTTTGGGCAATGTCACTGGGGGACAGGTCAGGTTTCAAAAGGAGCCATTCCCAGCTTAATCCAGTTCAAAAACAGAGAGAAAATCAGAACTCTGTCTCCTTATGAGACGGTTAAACCCAGATGCGTGCACTTTTCTGGCCTCTCAATGCGTATGGATTGCATCACAAGTGGGGGTCCCCAGGGCAGGGCAGTCTCAGTGAGAAGCCACACAGGGCCTCCGAGTCACTTCCCCTGCACCGCTGGACTGAGATGGGTCCTTTGTCCCCCCTCGTGGGGGGCTGTGCAGCCTTAGGAGTAAACACACCGTGGTAATTAACCCAGATGCTAAGGCGAGGAGTCCCGTCCCGAGGTCCCTAATGACTCCATCCTTCAGCAAGGCCACTGTGTTCCCCTGATCTGGACAGTATCATCAGGACACTGTCAAAGCAGACAATGCCCTTATCTCTCTTCTTTTCAAGTCACCTGATTAACTAGGGGAACAGGAACAGAGAGAAGAGACTGTGTCCTTGCATGATGGCTAGAATGTCACCGACCAGTTTGGCTCAGGCCCTTGTCTCTCTGCCAAGGCCTGCAGGTGGCCAGCTTCACCCGAAGGGGCTCCCTGCCCCAGGGAGTGCTGACCTCCAGCAGGTGTGGACACAGCTCCCTATGTCCAGGCCTGGACCCGGTCTGTGTGTGGCCGCAGGGGGTGGCCACCTGAAGCTTGTCACCTGACCAGGAGCCAGCTGCAATGGCTTCTGTCTCCCATGCCCAGGAGTGCTCTAGGGAAGGGCAGACGCACGGCCTTCCCTGCACACAGTGGCTGCAGGCCAGGGCGGCCACTGTCCTGGGAGAGGAAACTGGACCCACCTATGCTGGGGTGCAGAGCCCAGGAATGGTAGCCAGGGTCCCCGGCCACTGTGGAGGCTGGCCTGGCTCAGCCCCTCACCCTCACCCTCCTCCTGTCTCGGATGACTCAGGCTCTAGCGGTCCTCCCTAGTAACGTGCAGGACAAATGGTGTGCAGGACTGAGCTGGAGAGAGGTCCAGTTTTAATACTTCTGAGGACATTATGCCACTTAAAACAGTGGAAGAAATGTGTGTTCACATGAGTGTACCATACAAGTGTGCATGTATGTGCATGCACAGCCACTGTATCTACAGGTATCTGCCATGTGTGTGGCCATGCATGGTCGTGTGTGCTGTGTGAGCTGCAGTACATGCATGCAATCATGCATGTGCATATAACCACACATGTGTAGTCATGTGAGCTGGTGTGTACCATGCACACATGAATATCATGCATTCAAATCTACTATGCCATGTGCACATGCATGTTGTATTTATGTGTGTGCCATGTGCACATGTATGCACTTGTGTACATGTGCAGGTGTGTTCATGTGTGCTCATGTGTGTGTCCATGAGTAACATGTAATTTGTTTGTATTCATATGCTCATACGTGCCTTGTGGATGTGTGTATACCTGTGTGTACCATGTAAGTATGCAAGGTACTTGCATGCCCACGAGTGTGCACCTGGGGGCATTACATGTGCACATGCGTGCACATGAGATGTCTTGTGTCCTGGCTCCCATGGCCCCAGTTCTGGCAAGTGAACTTGGAAGCCACTCACAGGCAAGCCAGGTCCCACCTGCACCACCTCTGCCCTGGGAGGCTAGAGATAAGTGTGGGCCTTATGCTGGGCAGGGCTCTTGCCGGAAGCCATCTGTCCTCCACAGCTTCCTTGGGGCTGCAGCCAGCTCCCCAGGTGCCCAGAGAGCCCCTCCCTCATCACAGCCGACCCAGCCTGGTGGGGTGTGAAAAGCAAAGCACCCGCTCCTGTGAACCCCACAGGCTCATTACTCAGTACAGCGGTGGCGACATAAGCACTTTCATTTACTTAGCCTTAAATATATGTAAATTAAAGGGTTTTCTTTTATTAAAAATAACAGTGAAACTTACCAGTGATGTGTTTTTGTTATTCAAAGAGGAGCAGTACTGCAGGACCGGCTCTGACGACATTTCGCATTCAGGCTGTGTCCTGCTTGGGCTGAGCAGCGGCTCACAGCCCAGCGTCTGCGGGTGCTCCGGGCCCCTTGTCAGGTGGGGGGCACCCTGTGGCTGGAAGCCTAATCACTGCCAAGAAAGAAAAATACATTGCCGCCTCCATCCCCAGCATCCCTGAGCTGTGGAACAAGGAGAGGCGGAGGGGGTGGCGTTCATTGTTTTGGGGAGCAGTGGGCTCCTTCCACCTCCTAAACAGACACCCCTGGGGTGCATCACCCATGCACGCTCAGACACTCCAAGCTGGGTGTGTCTTGTCATCCTGCACACCTTTACCTCCCTTCTCCCTGCCCTCCTCTGCCAACTGCCACCACACACACAGTGCCTGTGCCATCCACAGAGGACCCAGCCAGCCACGTGACCCGGCATTCTGGATGCTTTCAGTAGGACCCTACATCAAGGTGAGCTGGAACCAGGTTACCCTCTGCATCCACCCGCTGGGCTGCCCTAACAAAGGACACAATCCAGCTGGCCCAGGAAATGGACACTAGCATGATGGCACACATCTATCATGCCAGCACTCTAGGAAGCTGAGGCAGGAGGATTGCAAGGCAGAGCCTAGCCTGGGTAACATGGTGACTTAGTGGGACCCTGTCGCAAAGCAAAACAAATGAAAAGGATGGAGACGGAGCTCAGTGTGAAAGCCCTGGTTCCATCCCCTCTACTGCTGAATGAATGAGTTAATTAACAACACAGCCTCCCCCTGTCTGGAAGCCAGAGACCCCAGTCAAGATGTCTGTGACTCTCTGGCTCCCCAGCTCCTACAGGTCCCAACAATCTGGGGTGCCCCCATTGGCAACTGTGTCCCTCAATCCTGCCAGTCACATGAGTGGCTTCCTTCTGTGTCCCTGTGACTTTGCATGGCATTCCGAGTCTCTCTTCTCATGAGCACAAGGGTCATACTGGACCAGGGCCCATGCTGCTCCACTGTGACCTCATGAGCCACATGCGAGGTCTCGGGGAAGGACCTGGGGAGGCCACACCCCTTCTCTCCCTGCCATCCAGGCCACAGTTCTTCATTTGCCTTCAGGACCCTGTCCCTACTCCCTGGAGGCCACTGCATGAGTCTCCCCAAGGTTCCCTGCCCAACTCTAGCTCCCTGACCACCAGCGAGTCTCCCAGACCACCAGCCCCAGGTCCCACTGCATCCCAGTTACGGCATGGGAGTCTGCACTGATCGGAGCTTTCATGCAACACAGTGCTTCAGTCCAGCCTGGCACACAAAGGAATCAGGAGCAGTATGGAGGGACAGGGCACATTTAGTGATCTTGAGCAGAGACTGCAGGACAAACTTAGCTCTGGGGACACTACTGGACCTTTTAAACAAGAAGAAGGAAACAGGGGGTCTGTAGACCCTTCAGCAGTCACCCAGCTCTGTTCTCAGAGTGCTGGCCTCCAGAGCCACAAGAGAATGAAGTCCACTGTGTAAAGCTACTCAATCTGTGGCATTTTGTCATAGGGCTCTAGGACATCAACACACCCTCAGGGACCACCTCCCTCCCCTGCTGCTCCTTCTCTGACCACTTTCTGAGGCAGCCTGACAGCCACACCACATCCAGCGCTCCCTGGATGCCCATCACAGCCCCATCACAGGTCAGCCTCCTTTGCCCAGTCCAGTATGTGACCCTCCAAAGTGGAATCTAAAACTGGGACACTGAGCCCATGGCTCACAGTGCCCTGTGGATTGGGAGGAAATGTTCTCCACTGGACAAGGAGTCCACCGGGACAGACCATCCCAGAGGAGCATGCATCTGTACTCACTGGCACAGACTTCCCCGTGACCCAGACTTGAACCAAGGACCATGGCCAGTAGCTGAACTGGGTGCTTGGGGCCCATGGCCTCTCACACTCTTCATAAGGTTCTGCGGCAATCATGGAAATGTGGTGATGTCTCGTCCTCTCCCTGAGAAGCTCCTCCCACGTGAGGATGGGGCCATGGGCCTTGCTGCCCTGGGCCCACCAAGCTGCTGCTGCCACTCTGGACCCAACAGATTGGTGACTGAGTGCCAAGGACTGGGGACACCCTGAGTGACTTCAAGGGGTGCAGGAGCCCGACAGAATTCCTCAGCCGGGACAGGGAGCCAGCCTGCAATTGTCCCCACAGAGGGGTCACAGTGGACAGCACAGGGCAGCACAGATGCCAACATGATGACCACCACCAGTCACGGGCCCCTTCTGGGAGTGGGTTAGGCCAGGTTTTACACCTGTGCTCCCCTCCAAGGGATAAAAGAGAGGCACTGAGAAGGAGCTCTGAGTTTACAGAGGAATTCCATGAACCTCAAGCAGCACTTCATCTGACAGAACGCAGACTGTCACCCAGCCTGCCGGGACGTGAGCCCCCAGAGCTGACACCTAGAACAGAGGCCTGACACCTAGCACACGAAGGTTCCTCACAAACTGCTAGGCAAATCTCAGGTCCACGAAGGAACTGGTGGAGGAGGAGGCCTCATAGCTGTGGACATAGGAAGCTGCCAGGGATGAGGAGAAGCAATAGCAGAGCCCAAGCCAGGGCACTGGGATGATGGACAGCCGGTGTGTGGATGAGGGTTGGTTCCTGTGGCTGAGCCTGGCAATCCTGGGAAGAACAGACTCTCACACATAGCTTGGCTCAGGGCACCCCAAGGCGTCCCAGAACACAGTAATTCAGTTCTGTGAGCCGATTCCACAGTCTGGACCCCAAGGGTAGCCCATCCGGTGTGGACGTGATGGCGATGGCATTTGCTCCTCCAGCACCTGAGTCCGCACCCCTAGTGCTACCCTCAAAGCACTGCCCTTTTCCTGTTAGAACCTCTCCTTAAGGCAGGCGGAAAAACATCAGCCCACACTGCAGGTCAGCCGGCTTTGCCACTGAAGATGGAGCCAGGAGATATGAAGAGGATGCTGTTGAGCTACCCCACAACGAGATGCTACATCTCCAACTGGCTAGATTTCAGCCACCCCAATGAGCTACCAAGCAGTGCACTGAATCTGCCATTGAGGCTGGAGCTTTGGAATTAAAAAGAAGGCAAAGAACAAAGAAGGAGTGAACCATTAAACCAGATGTGAGTCCCCCAGAGCAGGAAAAGCCTGCAGCTGGCTGGACGCTCTGCTGTCTCCCAAGGCCAATGGCAGGGCAGCCCCTTGTGCCCACCTCTCTCCAGGAAAGACAGTGCTCCCCAGGTACATGGGTCCCCACTCGAAGCAGGTCACTGATTTTAAATCACAGAAACACTCACAAAGGGGCATCCCAAGGGAGAGTTCCAAACACCCTAAAATCAAGGCAGCAGTCCAGGGAGCACAGAGCACCAGGGCTTCTGGCTCTCACCTGCCACCTGTGTGGATTTCTGGATGCCCGTGGGCAGCTTGGCCACACAGAGGTCCAGGAAGCACAAGGAAGAAATTCGCCAGGCTCGAGGCTCCCCTGCTCCTGTCACCCTGGGCTGCCCTTCCCTCTTTCAGATGACACCTGAGACCTTGTAATGACACTGCGTGGCTTCGGCAGCATACGTTGGCTTTGAAATTGCTCCCCTAAATTTTAGAGAAGATAAATGTGGATCTTCCTTCGCTTTGAATTGTTCAGCTGGGGTAGGGTCCTAAGCACGAATGACCTTCTCCTTGCAGATGTAAAATTCACACGCTTCTTTAAGGTCTGGAAGGACCATGTCTTGCCACGTGGCATGGCAGAAGACACTGCGCACTCAGCAGTGAGCCACAGCCCCATGATGACAGCACTGCAAGGGAGGGGGTGCACAGCCACGTCTCCTCTGTGACACTCCTGTGACAGTGAGCTCCCACTCAGACTCCAGCCCTGGGGACGCTTTGATCCCTACAGCAAGGAAGGCAGCTCGGCTGCCACAGAGACAGCAGACCAGCCACCTTCCTGGGAGCTTTCTGCCACCACACAGGGGACAGTGGGGTGAGAGGACCAAGAAGATGCTCAGAGCATCTCCAGAAGACACCAGGTTCAGGCATGAGTGCCACCTGCCAGGTAAGAGACCCCACCCCACAGAGCACAGTTATGTGGTGCAACCCATCTTGAGACACTGAAGGAGGAGGGTCATCCCAAGGCCCTGCTCTCCGTGGGTAAACTGAGGCAGCAGAGACTCACTCCAACATCCCCAGCCAGGAGCCGCTGGACAGCAGCTCTTTGTGTATCTGCCTGCCCCTGGGCATGTTGTCACCCGGCCTCCACCACTTCTGTGGACCTTAGCTTCCCCCATTCACCCAGAAAAGACTTGTTCTTCTAAAATCCAGCACTGCAGGGCCACCCCGTACACTGGGAGCCCCTGCCTGAAGTCAGAGGTCCCATGGCCATTCTACCCACTTTGCTTGCCTGGGCAGTTGTGGACGCATCTGTTCACTGCGGTTTCGCTGCCTGTCCCCTCCCCCACCGTCCCCACGGTCGCTCGCACAGCTGCAAGACGTCCCTCGTCCTGCACAGGCAGCGAGGGTGGTGGCGGCCGTGGTGAATGTCTCATTAGCACCCCCAGTGACTGCCAAGACCCTCCTCAGAGCCCAGACGCTGCTCACAGGGACAGAAAAGACTGACGTCCTTTTCCAGGAAAGTAGAAGATTCGCACTGTCAGGCTGCAGCTCCCTTCCCCGTAAACATGCCCGGCTGAGGCTGTGCACCTATCTCTGCAGATCCCGCGAGCCATCCTCCTGCGCTGCTTTTCTTCCTCCCTTTCTAAAGGGCGGGAATCACTCCACTTTGCCATGAGGACCGCTGAAGAAATGCACAATTAAAAATGAAAAAAAGAAAGCCTTTTCAGGGCTGTTTACTTGGGTGATGAGGGTGACACAAACGTTTCTTTCTCCTCCCAGGGCCCACCCACAGAACTCGGGACAATGGTGCCCCAGCTTGGCTGAGCCCTGCCAGGCCCATTCAGGCGGCCTTGTGCTCACGGCTGCGGCCCACGGCTAATTATAGCCCTGAGATGCGGTTGCAGGAGCTCCCGTATTTACATAGCTGGGCAAGTCCCTCAGAACAAAGTGTTCAAGAAAATGATGACAATCACTAATGTTTCAGAGTATGGAGCAGGTCGAGGATCGAGAAGGGGTTCGCTGGATATCAGCATTGTGCTAAACCTCCTCTCCTCCGTGCTGCTCCAAACTTACACGAACGACCCCAAAACTTCCTGAGCAGATTCCCCACGGCTTCCGAATCTGCACACGGCGAGATGCGTGGCTCGGTGACAGAGGGTTTAAGTTATCCTCGTGAGGAAATAACCAAAGTTACATCATTTCCATCAACATTCATCATTTTAATTGCCTGAATCTCCCCCAGAACAAAGTGACACTATAGTTTTATGGTATTTGATTAATGAGGGCAGGAAAATTGAAGTTTTTGCAATAAAACTAAAAAAAAATCAACAGACTTTTATGGTTTTTTCCCTTGTGATTTTAATTTGATGGCTCGTGTTTTCATTACTGCCGAGGCTGTACACTTTAGCTGGCAATTACGTCCCATCTGTGAAGCACTGTGTTACTGTGTTATTACAGTTTATTCTAGTAGCTTTTCAATCACTTTTGAGTTGGGCTTTACAAGTATTCTTGCAGCAGGTGGGCCTCCTGGCATGCGACCAGGAACACACAAAGCGCAAAGCTGGAGTTTAATGGCAGCATATGCATGTGGCAGGGAGCACCAGCTTCCCCATATGCCGCCGCACAGCCCCTCAAGCCTGCCAGTCACTCTTCTTACCGACTACAGTCTCTAAGTAGTTTTCTGCCAGGGAAAAATATACCAAGGCAGCAAATTTCTCCAGTGCACCATCCTTATTACTGAGACAACCCTGTCATTAGCACGAGCACAATGGGCCTGAACCGGGGATGCATACCAATTAGGCTGCTGGAGCACTTTTGCTTCTTATCGCTATGGAAACGCGCCCCCCTGTCCGCAGTGGACAAGCAGGAATGTCCCCCCACCCATATGTCACCTAGTTAACACTGCACACTTTCATGTGAACCAAAATCCACTCTAGCCCTCTTGGCGGTGCAGAGAAAGGGAAGAAAACAACGCAAGTCTCATGTGTTTGGGAAGCGTTAGTCCCTCCGTCCTAGAATTCCAGGTCCTGCTCGCCGGACCCAGGGGGAGGGCTGCTTGAGGGCTGTCAGGGTCCTTAAATTGGAGATGTTTTCTCCCATTGGACCTCGCAGGCAGAGTTTAAGCAATCAAAAAGAAAAGTCTTTGTCCCGTGGAAGAAAAATGGAGCCCAGACATTTTTTAAACAAATTGGCAGAAAAAGTAGAAGAGGCAGGGAGGGCTAGGTCTTGGGCTCCAAGTCCAGAGCCCTGTCCTTGGGCTGTGACTGGCCCTGATGCCAACACCCCAAGGAGGCTGGGTCTCCTCGTGCAGGGACTTTCCTGCCTGAGTGCTGGGGACTTTGCAGCAAGCAATGCATACAGCCTTTTGAGGTGTGTGTGCGAGACAGAGGGAAAGAGAGAAAGGAAGAGAGCAGGTTTGATTTTATGGAGACATCGGGACTCCCAAACCTTGAACTGAGTGGGCTCTCACTTTGACCCACACCATGCACGAAGGTTCTGCTTCCCTCTGTGGCCGGGCAGAGCCAAACAGAGCTGTCCCCCTAGTGGCACTCCTCCTGGCTGACCACACTGGCTCCCTGATGCCAGCCCCATCAGTGCCCCTCTAAGCACTGGCTTCTCCTCTTTCCAAGCACGCCAAGCCTCTGCTCCCAACTTCTTCCTATGCTGCCCGATCTCACCATCACTTGCTTGCATGAGAGCTGGGACAGCACTGCGGCTGGGGAGAGGACCCGGCTCGCAGCAGGGGCTCCTAATGAGGCCGAAGCTGTGCCAGGAGGTCGAGTGCAGCTCCCAGCTTCCCAGAGCCAAGCAGGCCACTCTTGAGGCACAAAGCACTATTTAGAGACACTCATCAAATGTGAGATACTGAGAAGGAAAGCCCCGTCCTGAGCAACAGCAACTCAGAAGATGAAAATGCAGCCAAGTTGGAAAACTGAGTTCCAAGCACAGAGCAGACTGTGGCCAGCGGGAACCGCTCTCCTGCAGAGCACAGGTTTCTAGCTCAGAGGCAGCTCTGGGAGAACAGGGCACTGGCAAATATGGTGAATGTTTGTTTGAAAAAATATAGCAAAAGACGCATTAAGGCTGGGGATGTAGCTGAGAGACACACAATGCCTGCCTGACAGGTATGAGGTCATGAGTTCAATTCATGGTACAAAAAAAGAAAGAAAGAAAGAAAGAAAGAGAGAGAGAGAGAGAGAGAGAGAGAGAGAGAGAGAGAGAGAGAGAGAGAAAGAAAGAAAGAAAGAAAGAAAGAAAGAAAGAAAGAAAGAAAAAAAGAGGAATTAGTAAAAGACACATTGTCTTGAATCCTGCTCAAAATTCTCCCATGTGTTTTAAATACACTCATCCCCTCATCCTCGCCTCTTCCTGCAGCAGCTCAGGAGTCCTCTTTCCTGAGGATCTTTAGTTGCACTGTCCCGGTTGCCTCCAGTCTTGAATGGATTCAAAACGTTTCCTTTTCATGGTCATTTTGACTTTGGGGAAAGACCCAAAAGTCACACAGCGCCAGATCCAGTGACTAAGGCGGATGAGGACACAGCATCCTGCATTTGTGAGCTGCCTTTCCACTGGACAGTGCTTGGCAACAGTGGTCACCTTATTTTTATTGTATCTCCTAGAGACCCTCGGAAAAGAGCACTCTAAAGCTGCTGCAGGAAGGGGCGAGGACAATTAGATGGCGTGCTCAGAGCGCAGGGGAGGACTCTGAGTCCAAAGAGACTCTGGGTCCCATCTCTCCCCAGCTTCCCCTGGGGCAGTGTGACTCTGTACCCCACACTCTTGTGCACACTGCCTGCCACAAGGCCCTGGGCACTCTGCACTGATGCCCAAGCCTGCCCTGTGCGGCCCCACCCTCAGCCCCGCTCTGGCCTCCACCTCTGTGTACCTCTGTGCCAGAACTTTCCCTACAAAGACACCCATCCCCCCCGACCAGGGCCTTTCCACTTCCAAAACCACAGCTGAGTGAGCCCTCTGTAGCCACTGCAGGGATTTCATTAGAGAAACGAAAAGTGGACAACACAGCACCCAGTGTTTGTGTATTGCCCTTTCTGCCACTGCTGTCTTTCATGGTGCTGCCATGTCTTTTCTGTGTCCCTCAAAGGCAGGTGGTCTTCCCCAGTACCTACAGCGGGACCCATTTGGACTGTGTGGCTGCTGATGCAGGTTGCCAAGCTGAAGCGCTGTGGGGGTGGCCGGGCCCAGGTGATGGGCATCCTAAGAGCGAGTTCGGGCACAGAGGGATGTGGGAGGAGAGGTGGTGCAGAGGCGGAGGCCTGAGGATGTATCTACAAGCTGAGGTGCCATAGGGCAGCTGTAAAAGCAGGCAGCCCTCCACTGGGGCCCTCAGAGCCAGTGCAAGGTACCCTTGGTGCCCGGATGCCGAGGCTGGTCCCTGTCATTGCCCCATCCATCTACAGTGATGAGTTCCAGCGACCCAGGACTCTACACAATCACTACCAGACAGTGGTTCTCTGGATTCTCAAGATCAGAAAAGAACCTCAGCAGTGTTTCAACCCAGGAGCCACTGGTTCTAGGTTCTAAGGGACACAGAGAAATAAGAAGCCCCAGGCAAGAGAGTGCTGCTCATCCATCCCAGGGAAGGGCTGATCCAGCCATTCCGTTCCCAACCCATCTCTGGAAAGAAAAGAAAGAAAGAACAACAGAACCAGCTCTGCCACTTAGCAGCCTGCTGCCTTGCACAAGTCCCCTCCCTCCCTGTTGCCCCAGCCCCGTCCTGGCCCGTAGCGCATGTTTACACCGGTTCCAAAAACCACCTGGGTGCGCTACCACTCGAGGAGCCTTCCTTACTGTGCCTCTGTGTAAGATTCATTGAGATAAACGGTTTCCTCTTTTAAAAGAGCATTGCATTTTGTGCTACCACTGCCCAGGTGACAATCTGACCCCCCTTACCCCCACCCCCCTGGCAGCCATGAATCAAATCGAGGTCTCTTTTCACACAAGAAATAAAAAGACGCAGCTCTGAGGGAGTCGGGAGGAGCTGCTTCCCAGAACCCAGACCCCAGGAGGCCCTGGGCCCCTGTGGGACAAGTCTGGGGGTCGGTGAAGCTCACACCTCTAGATCCATATCACTGTGACATCGCCTTCCAAACCATGAGCCTCTCTTTTGGATAACGTACAGCCCAGTATTAATAAAACAAGGCCAATATTTACAATCTCTCATTGCTGTTAAGATATGTACTAATGACCAACCAATTTTAACTTTGTTCCCTTTGCAGAATTTTCTAACCTGGATAACATTTAAAGTCTGTTGCAGAGAATTTGGCCTTTTTTTCCTCACTTGGAACTACCGACTTACTCCACTTAGGTCATCCAAGTGTGGTTGTGGCCATGAGCCACTTCCCTTGCACTCCTGACATCCTTGTCTTTGTGCAGGTCAGAACCTGATTGCTGCAAGGACACAAACACATTTAAAGCCAACAAACATGTGCTCCATGCAGCAGCCTTTCCGCTGCTGTTCCGTGGGGCTCCAGATAGAAGGACAGACTTGCACCCCTTCCCCATGGCCTGCAGGGGCCGCCAGGGGCCTCCTCACCTGCTCCCCCAGCGGTCCCTTCTCTGGAGACTCCTGGCTGCTCCCTCTCTGTGCCTCTGCCAGGGTGCTGTCCTCTCTCAGGCGATGGTGACCGCTCCAGGGCACAGCAGTGTCTGCTGCCACTTGACTGATCCCTTTCCGGCACCCTACCTCCCCTCAGCCCTGGGGGTGTCACTGAGGTCTTCTAACAGC